AGGGAGCCGTTCAGCAAAATAAACCCTAGTTTTGTAGTGAATGCAGGAGTACTTTGAAAAGCCGCTTGAAGAAGCGCTCCACGCCCTGGAACTGCCGCCCTTATGAGCTCCGTCATCGGGTTTTTGAGCAGTAGCCTTAGGTTCCCACAGCGTCCGCAATTTGAGGCCCCCACATGGTCGCTATCCATTTTGAGGTATCTTCGTCGTTTCTGTGGTTTCCTTAGTATTGTCACTTACCCTCCTTACAAGGAGTTTTGATTGCTCCTCGGGACTCAAAGGTCCAGCGCATTATTCGGGGCTATGCAATGCCGATGTCTTTAGCGGAATCCGATTCAGACAGCGCTAAAGCTGTGAATCAAACTGTTCTACATATATGTATTATGGCCAAAATCCTGCCTTTTCAAAGATCAAATCCATTAATTCACACAGAACTAATGGAAAGCCCTGTGACTGAAACGGAAGGCTAGCTGAACATGTAATGCTACACCTTCAGTAACGAAGTAAGGCGAGGGTTTTTCGAGTGCTGGTGGTCATGAGAGCGTTCTTCGCAGAATTGTCCTCGCCTAAGAATTTAAAAAACGTGTTGCCAATATTCGTTCACTATAGGTACAAACCCGTGTGCTGAGCCGTGGACCAAAGGTGAAGGAGAAGCGACACTGACTCGCTTTTACTACGACTCGATCAAGCGCAAATGTCTTGCCTTCAACTATTTTGGCACAAAGGGCAACCAGAATAACTTCCTAACGAAGGAACTTTGTGAGGTTGGCATTTTGGGTTGGACCAATTGGGACTGACACTAGCTTACGACCACTTTTTGAGCCCAAAATTATCTTCTTATTAAAAATCTGCTTCAGGCTACTTGCCCAGTATGGGTGAATCCATGCGCTGTTGGTCAACCTATTCCTGACACCTGATCAACACCCATTCCATTGTCATCAGTCTGCTCCATGCTCCACTGGGTAGCTTCATTTACAGCTGTAAACCCGCAAATTTGGGTACTTCGCGGGAATTTGATAAGCTTTTATCTCTTCTTTGAAGTCTTATTTCTGTCCTGTTGCTACGAATCGCTCTTCCCATAAAATCGAAGAATTTATGGTTCAAAAACCTAAATTTGAGGTATTACTGCCATATCGGCTTCGATGAATCGACAACGGTCTGCTGCCAGTCTCAAGGTGATCCGTGCAGTCTGGTCGTGAAGGAAGGGTTACGGTTCCCAGAGCATGAACCGCTGGTTCTACAACCATCAAACGAGACAGTGCCAACCGTTTACCTACCGTGGTAAGTCTACCCGCGTAACTATTACTATCGGTTTTTTGTTGCGGGTATTTTGGACTGAAGCGTCACTCCATGTGAAAGCTACATATCATTTGTTATTTAAAATGTTGATTATCACTGACTCATGCGCGCTCGGTAAAGTCTGCTCTTGCCCCTGACGCGTTTCGGATTGCCCTCGTACTGTATAGCCTTACCCCAATGACACTAGGGGATTTGGCAGAATATTCGCGAACACTTCAGCCATGGCCATAACGAGGCTCCAGCTATTTATTGTCCATGGTTCAGTTCAAATTTACCTGATAGGGCAGTGTTCCTAGACACAGCTTCGAGCTCTGTATTCCTGTTCTATTCAACCACCTGGACCAGTGGCCTTAAGTGAAACGGATTTTGTTCCATATTTATAGTTTTTCTAATAACCAGTTTAGCTGCGCACGATACCGCGCGCGAAACACGGCTGAAGAGGATGGACTGTCGTGGCAGGGTTAAAGTGCGTTGCGCTGTTCTCAATTGAGGGAGTGGTATTTGAGTTATTCGGGAGGGGCCGTATTTGAGGAGGTTGGTAGGAAAAGGAACTGACCAAGCCTTGCCTTCGTCCTACACGCTCTGGGGGCAACTTCTCACCCATCTGGAACGCCCTAACTATATTTCATTGGGTCTACGTAGCGTGCTCTAGTGTTACCACCAGGCCCGACAAACACACCAAACTTCTGCTTTATATATATGAGTGAGTTGAAGTTGGTTGGGGGATGAAGGTGGGCTCTAGTTCAAGAATGAAGGGGAGTGGATGCCCACGCTCTGTGTCCGTAGTACTGGTAACGAATGCAAACATGACTCGTCAAATGAGTCCTTAGTCCTTAATTCAAGGGGCGGAGCTCGTAAACGGTCAATCGTCCGTCTTGGCAAGTT